AGCCCCGTTCCTGCCAGCAGCTTCCAGCGCGCAGTGCCAGACCTGGCTGCCTTTCAGCTTCTGTCCTTGCTGTAGGAAGCATGCTCGGTGACTTACGAGTCTGGAATCGTTCCTGTACTCTGAATTACAGGTTTCAAATGGAAGAAACAGCTTATTGTGATTGGTGCCTTTTCGGGATTCTGCTGTGTTCTGCTTACATGCAGGGCAGTTATTCCCCTGGCAAGGATTTTATCATAAAATATGAACCTTCATTTTTCTGCGCTTCAGATTGTTCCCTTAAAGATCCTAAAGATCCTTTTCTTGTTTGCTTGTTTTTCTCCAAACAGCACCGTGCCCGTTAGAGCATCGTTTAGCATTGCACTTGGAGTTTGGCACTAGAGGAACCGTATGTGTTTTGGATCGTGTGCCCCTGTGGGTTGTTTTGTCCCTGGATGTGGCACGCCTCTGTGTGCGGAGCACTTGTCCTCGTCCCTAGCGAGTGCCGGAGCCTGTTACAAGCTAAGCATTTGTGTAATTGGGCTTTGGGCTCCTGTGTCAGATCTTTCTGGTTGTGCATCATCAGCGTTTTTTACCGCAGTGCTGCTTTGCATGCCCTTCCCCATGTCTTTGCATGATTCTGCAGTCTTCCTTGACAGAAGTTTTGTAAATTACGCTTTAGCAAAGCAACCAGGAGAAGATTTGTAAAAGTGGCTCTTTTCCCAGGGAGAGTGCCATCTCTAAGCGAGAAAACATGCTGGTGGATGTTAATTCAGCCCATAAATCAGCCAAACTAGGCTGGCGTACTATAGCTGCTCGCTCGCACTGATGTTTCTTGGTGGGGAGGAAGGTACTTATTAACTCAAGGCTGAAATCTGGTTTAGAAGAAGCAGTGCAAATGTTCCTCTGCCAGTAAGAGCAGCCTTTTCTCTCAGCCCTTTGCTGCGGCAAGGTGGAACGCTGGCGGTTGCCTCTTCTCCCCCTGCTAAACCTGGCCATCTGGAAAAGATTCCTTTCCTTATTATTCACGTGTGGACTTCTCAGCGCAGAAGCGTCTCCCCGTTTGGAGTCTGGCTTTGCTGGCTGTGCCCAAAAGAGTTGGGAGCCCCCAGCACCAGGGAAGGATGCTCGGGCAAGGTGGAGGGAAGAGAAGCGAGGAACTCTTTGAGGACGGGCGTATTCTGGAGAGCAGCCGACTGGAAGCACTTAGGCTTGTTTAAACTGTTTTAGGGTAGCGTTATAGAGCAATTCTGTTTTAAAATCAATAAATACCTTGATTGTTAGAAGCCTGAACCCCGCCCTGTTCCCACCCCTGCTCGTATTTATCAGCTCTGTTAGTGAGATGCGCGTCCAGATTTTGGTCCCTGAAAGCTGTTTTCCCCCTCTGTGTGGCTAACTGGCAACTTCTCCATCTGTCTCACTGCTTTTATGCTGAAGCCCTGCAGCTCCCAGGCCACCTCTGGGTGCATCCTCCAGCGGTAAGTGAACAGGGCAGTGGCAAGGCTGAAGAGCGAAGCTGAGTGGTGAGATCTAGGACCCCGATTCCTTCGAGCAAACAGAAGAGATGTTTGGGGTTGCTTGAAATGTGTCCAGGAGTTCGGAAGTAACTTGCTTTTCAGCGCAGTATTGGGTGCCTCTGTGAACATGCTGTACTGTGCTAATGGGCAACGGCCTAAAAATCCTGCTGCCTTCTGCAACACTGCCCTCTTAATGAGGTACCCTCTGTAGAGAAAATACGCCAAGAGTTAGGAAACAAAGCTGCTTCCTACTCACTTCATGGCAAGTTGGCTGGATTCTGGGAGGCTGCTCAGAGATCCCAGGCTCTCGGAGGCAGGGACAACGTATTCTGTTTCCATGCCGTGTTCCAGCATAGCAGGGTCTTACATGCAGTATTTGTTTTTAAAAGTGCTTTTCCTAATATATGCAACTGGGTGGATAACCTCTCTTCTGTTTCCCCTTCTGCTAGGTTGCCATAAAGATAATTGATAAGACACAGCTGGATGAGGAGAACCTGAAGAAGATATTTAGAGAAGTTCAGATCATGAAGATGCTTTGCCACCCACATATCATCAGGTTATACCAGGTAGGAGCTCTCTGCTGTGGGTTTTCCGGCCCTCTGTGCTATAGCTTTACGCTGTATAGTAGTGATTTCTCTAGGGTTATCCCTCCATTCCTCCAAGGTGAAGTACTGGGAAAGTCCTTTATGTTTTCAAGGTCTCGGAGTACTTTGATTAGAGGGGCGGAGGGGGGGAAAGCGTGGCTAATCCTTCTCTTTTCTGGGAGATCGCGCTTCCGTTGTGGGCTGGCCTCTTGCCATTTGTTTATGGCTATTGTGTGCTTTTCAGTTTCCCAGTTGAAAGCGGATGCGGGCTCCCCTTCTCAATTTAAGGGCGAGAGTAAGTCTTACCCGCTAGCAGGACTGCAAGCATGCGGTTTCCCTGCTCTCCTCTACCTGCCCAGTTGCCCTGCAGCCCCAAGGACTTGCTGATCTGCTCTCTGCTTTCCTGGAAGGTGATCGATAGCAGCGGCAGAGCTGCTTTTGAAACTTGTTTGCGGACTTTTTCTCCAGCTTGTATGGCATTTTCAGTTTGCAGACAAAACCGCCAGAGACCGAATCCGTGTGTGTTGCCTTTTACACATGTGGTCGGTGGTGCCCCTCCGACTGTACGATCAAATAGAACGACCAGGGAGTTGCAAGAGGCCAGAGACAAGCAGACAGCAGAGTGATGGGAGCGGAGGAATAAAGGAGGCCAACACCTTGGTGGAATGTTAAAAGCTGTTTTGGAAGCTGTTGGACAGATGAAAGGCTCCCTCTCTGGGCCTTTCTGATACAAGGGCTCAAGCAGTGACTTACAACCAAAAAGCGCTAGAAAGCTCTGTGCAAACTCCCCTCTGTTGCTTGCAATCCCAGTTCTGGGAAGCTGTGGGACAGAGGCTCCTTCCCGGCATCCTGCCAGAGCTGACCGCTGGCTGCCAGGTTCACGCAGAACTACCTGCCCCTTCGATGGAGCGCTACGCTTGCCAGAGGGCTCGCAGCCACAGGCTGCTTTGGGAAAGGAGGGGACTTGCATCCAAGCTGTGGATGGAAAATCAGCTCTTCTTTGGGCTGGCACACAGAGTGGAGAAAGGGCTGCCCAGGACCCTTCGTCTTGGGGGAGTGCTCAGGTGTGAGAAACTAATTAGGATGGGGATCTCCTGTTTGTACCTGCCTGACTCGGACGGCAGGCATTGGAATGTTAAAAAGTTGAAATCCTGGGGGAAATATGCTGGGGTTATTTCTGTTTGTAATGTAACGTTCACATGTGGGTTTTAAGGGAAAAGTTGTGGTAACCCTCAATAGAAGCTGCCGTTCCCTAGAGCCAACTCTTGCCTCTTCAGGCCCAGTCTACTTCTCCTCTGTGCCTGACAGATGAGTAATTATTTGGACTCCAAAGAGTTAAAACTGAGCAGAAGTGACAGAGGTTAATGTTCAGCTACTCTGGCCAAACCGCCAAGTGTGAGATGCTTACAGCAGACGCTGCAGAATTGAGGCATTATTAAGGTACTTGGGGAACGCTTCTCTGCAAACTGACTCTTTAAAGCTTTTTTTCTGAGCCAGAGACCTGTTTTTCAACCTGTTTTATTCCATCTAAAGCTTTTGATGTGATACTGAACAGGTGACGCTTGTGGCTTGGCTTTGCTAAGGTGGGAGAAGAGTACCAACAGAGGAGCATGTTTCATCTGGCTGTTCTTTCTGGGTACTTTCAGTGGCATTTGTTTTTACATTAAAACTACTAAAACCTAGTGTTGGGAATTTGGAGCCTTTTGTAGCTTTTTGTCAGGAATCTGAGTGTAAAAATCACGTTTCCTTGAGCTTATAAAACTTAAAAGGTGTCAGTGAAAAAGGAGAAAGTGTCTGTAACGATAGTAGTCTATAATGTAAGAGATGCTGTCTGGAAACAGAAACGCACTTAAAAATATCTTCCTAAAGGTTTTCTGTTCATGTAATGTCACTGTTAAGTAGGAGCTGTATATCGTGCCCTGTGACACTTGAGCAGAACTAAGGTTTGTCTTCGTTATACTCTTGTCTTAACATCAGAATAATAGCGATCCAGCTGTTTAAGCAGCTGCTGTTGTCCGGATCAGGCATGCATCATGCAAAATATGAAGCCTACGTGTTCAAGTCGTAGTTCTCAGGAAGAACAAGCAGTGTTGGGCTCCAAATAGCCAGCTTCTCTGTTGGGATAATAGTCCATTTCATGTCAAGAGGTGAACTTTCACTTGTCTTTGAAAGAGAGAAAAGCCAAAACAAAATCCAGCTGTTTCCCGGGCTTTTCTAAACACCCCAGAGTATCAAAAATTGACCCCCCCTGCCTGGCTCCAGAGGTTCAGCACTGCAGTCCTGGAAGTGAAATGCGGCGTTTTTCCCATTGACAAAGCTGTGAAACCTGCTAAATAAATAGCACCAAGTTTTGGAAAACACCCCGAGTGTGTACTTGCCCAAAGGCGGGTCGCAAAACCACAACCGGGTGAGAAAAGGGCCCTCGGAGCCAGCCTTAGCAAACCTGCAGGCAGGGAGGCATTGTGTGCTGCTGCTTGTGAGCTCAGGGTGGTCGTACGCCCTCACCCACTGTCTGGTAAGCATTAAAAATGTAGTTGAGGCCTGTCTTTAGCACACAGTGCCTTGCCCTACGCTTTTCCCCTCTTCTGCATCCTGATAGGGGCTTTGGTAGAACTTGTTCAGGACTCTCAGGTCGTTTAGGAGGGTAGGTTTCACTGAGGGTGATAGAACCGTGCTCAGAGATCAGTCGATTGCTCCAGAGAGTCCTGTGCAGTGGCCCCGCTGCTGTGCCGAGCGCGGCATCCTTGCTGCCTTTGTCTCGACTCGTTCGGAAGTCACTTATCAATTCAGCGAATATTCCCCTCCCTTTGGCAAAATCGTCTTGGTTATTTTAGTGCCTGCAATGGACTGATTAATTAGAAAGGTAAACTAGTTTGGTTGCAGCAGCCCTGAAACGTCTCCCAGGCTGCTGGAACAAGACAAGACCGGGGAGCAAATGCTAAAGGGAGGGTGTCGTGGTTTCACCCCAGCCACGGACCAAGCACCACGCAGCTGCTCGCTCCGCTCACTCTTCCCCCTGACCCCTATGGGATGAGGAGAATTGGGAAAAGGTAAAACCTGGGGGTTAAGAGAAGAACAGTTTAATAATTGCAATGAAATAACAAATAATAGTAATGAAAAGGGAGATAACAAAAAGAGACAGAGGAATAAAACCCAAACAAGACAAGTGATGCATGATACAGTCGCTCACCACCCGCTGACCGATGCCCAGCCTGTCCCCCAGCTGCGATCGGCCCCTCCCGGCCAACTCCCCCCAGTTTCTATGCTGGCCATGCCGTGCTGTGGTATGGAACATCCCTTGGGCTGGTTGGGGTCAGCTCTCCTGGCCATGCTCTCTCCCAGCTCCTTGTGCCCCCCCCTCGCTGGCAGAGCCTGGGGAACTGGAAAGTCCTTGACTCAGGGTGAGCACTACTTAGCAACCACTAAAACATCGGTGTGTTATCAGCATTATTCTCATACTAAATCCAAAACACACAGCACTGTACCGGCTACTAGGAAGGAAATTAACTCTACCCCAGCCGAAACCAGGGCAGAGGGGGAAAGAGAAGAGGAGGAAGGTGCAGATGAAGAGTTGTGTCTAGTTACAGATTTAGTGTTTAAAACTTGTTGTTTGATCCTTTCCCCAGTTCCTGTCCGTTCCTTTGCATAGCTCTGTAAAGCATGGGAAAGTAATATTTTGGATTTGATGAAAGCAGTTACATGTGTTATAGAAGGAACAAAAATTTTCAATTAGTTAAGTTCTTTTTGCACATGGCAGTCTCCTTATCTGTCACTTTTCTGTCCTTGCGCCCAGGTTATGGAGACGGAGAGGATGATTTATCTAGTGACAGAGTATGCTAGTGGAGGGGAAATATTTGGTAAGTACATTTATTGCATTCTTTAATCAGATAATGCACTTGGTCAACTACAGTAAACTGAAAATAGCTGCCACACTCTCTTGTTGCAGTTGAGAGATGCCCTTCGGTCTGAAAACTTTCCATTGACAAGAGGGGTAAAGAAATACATGATACCAACTTGATGGAAAAATAACTTCCATAACCTCTGTTTCTTCTTTGGGTTTCATAGACAGGTGGTGCTGCTCCTCTTTTATGCGGACTTTGGAATGAAAGGTGTTGGATTTTAAAGTGTTGCTGAATACTTTGCTTCCCAACAAGTTGGATGAAACTTGTTAACTGTAGTGGAAATGTTGGTGTATGTTAGTTAGCAGTGTTCAAAGAAACGGACTGTCCTGCGGTTCTGTAGTAGTCTGTTCTCAAAACCATGTATTTTCTTATCTTTTTGATATCTGATTTTATCTTAGCATGTATTAATTACATCCATTTTAAACTCCATTGTCTGCTAACAATGTTTTGGCTGAGCTTTCTTGACCGCAGAAGCTATTCTTTGAAGGAAAAGAAGTATCTGTGCAGCACAATTACAGGAACTGTTGACTGATTTATTAATTTGCTTGTTTTATTGCCGTGACCAATAAGAAACCTGTAGACATAGAGATTTACTTACACACTGGAGTTTTGTGCCAGGTGACAGAGTCGGAATTCTGCAAGATTGGTCTTTATTAGCTTAGCCACTGTGAGCCTCAGAAAAGGGGGAAAATCCTCCGTGCTTGAAGCGAGCTGGCTTAAATCTGCTTCAGGCAATGTCCTTGTGAGGGGACGGTCGCATACGGCCTGTCAGCTAAATGGAAATACTCTCCTTTTTGTCCTCTTAAGTCATTGCAGTAGATTCACTTTTGGTGTCAGAGCCGCTCGCTTTGCTGGAACTGAGACTGAGTTGTAATAACAGATGAAGCTCGTAGTGAAGCAAGGAAAGCCTCACGTTAAGGAAAATAAGGCACCTTCAGCTGCTGAAAAATGCCGGTTTCCAGTGAATACAGTCTAACACCGGTTCCTCAGTACCTTTGTAGATGGTTGTCATGCCTTCTCCACATTGTCCATGTCCTTCGGACGTCCTCTCTGAGGACGTGACAGCTGAAGGAAGAAGCAAGTAGTAGCTGATGCTTGGAAAGTGTGGATCGCCTGGTGAAAAATCTGACTTCCTCCAGCTGAGTCTTCCAGTTGTTTCCTCAAACATCAATCACAGTTAGACACCCAAGAGATCTGAAGGCTTGTAAGATTCATCTTACCTTGTGCAGCAAGTCGTAATTGCAGCGAAATCACTTGAACATGTATTAGAGTTTGCTTGCATGTAGATCACCGCAGAAAAGAGTAAATCACTTTTTGCTTTTTCTCCCTCTTCTGTTGAATTTGGCAGAGATGGGCTCATCTTTTTTTAAATCCAGAAGTATGTGCAAGCTCATATACAAACTTGGAATGAATTCCCTTGGTTACAAAAATAGCCTTCTGCATGAGTTGAAGTGAAAATCTAATTGCTTTCTGAAATACTTTATGCTGTAGTAAATTCAGCTCATCGGTATGGCTAACTTCCATTACGCTGCCCAGCATTTTATTGTCGTTGATAGCTGGGAGCAGCCAGTTAGGTAATAGCTGTGATGTTTCTCCAGACCTAAACCAGGAGGTTGTGCCCCCGCTAGCCGGTTTTGAGCGTTTTCAGGCACCGCACGGGGCCCTGCGCGCCCTCCGTGTTAGAGCAGAGAGGGGGAAGCTGAAGTCTCAGCTTTTTGTAATAGGAGTTTCCTGAGGAGCCACGAAGACTTTGTTCTAACAGCGGAAGCAATTTACAGGGAGGAAACAGCAACCCATTTTGGGAAGGTTTCCTTGCAGCCGTCAGCAGCTCCAGTACTGAAGAATCTCACGTCCTCACGTTGTGGAGACAAAGTCTATCGCAGCGTGGGCTGGCTTCGCACCCGCTCCGGCTCTTCCACAGCGTGGTGTGGCGGGCAGAAGCTGGACCTTACCTGTTACTGAGGATAAAACGTTGTCTGCACGTTGCTTCAACTTGGCACCCATCCCTCTTACGGTAGGCTTGTTAGGAATCGCTGGACATGCTGCAGGGATGGCCGCCTTGGGTGCATATGGAGAGTGCAGTCGCCATCACCCTGTCCATTACTGGGTGCTGGGGAATCCTCTGCATTAAACGTGCCTGTGCCGAGTCTTTTATTTCTTTTCCTGGGTTGTCTCCTAACATCTGCATGACCGAGGTTTTAAAGCGTAGTGCTGAGCTGGAGGAGGGGGTGGGGGGGCTGCCAACCACAGTTGTCCGGACGCTAAACGCTCGGTGTAAGGCTGAGTGCCTCGTGTAATCTGCGTTACAGCATCTCCCTCTTGTAAACCACAAGTTTTTATTGGACGCAAATTGCAGTTGTTTCCCTTGATGCTTTCAGAAGACTTTCAAAGGCTTAAGCTGTGCCCTACAACGGTAAATATGACGTAGACAGTAATATAGGTTGGAATTTTTAGCTGAAAGAATGGTAGTTTCTCTAAGTGGCCATGGTTCAGGTCAGTCAGCCGGTGTTGGGCGCTTGTCTGTCCTGTCCCTGGCTGCTCTGAGCTCCGCAGGCTGTCCTGGGTTAGCGCCTAGGGGAGCTGTACAACCTGTTTATCTGAATTGCCGGTAAAAGGGCTGATAGCTCCTTCAGCGGCCAAGCTGTGCTGTAAATGCCTCTGATTCGTCTGTTACTGGAAACGTTTTGATAATTCTCTCTGTTTGCATAGCGGTGCGTGGGGATCAGGGAGAAGACTTGCTTTTGCTGTGGGCTTAAGCAGTAAAATGTAAATTGTTATTTTTGTCCCTATGCATGTTTTGCGTGTGGTTGGGTTGCTGGTTTGACGTTATGAACAAATGAATGTCTCCTTTTAAACACAGGGTGCTCTTTGTTCCAGGTCCCTCGAGTGTCCTTTTTTTGAGGTCAAACAGAATGTAATCTAAAAGTCTATTTTCGTTTCAGCTGTGTACTGTGAATACTGTAAATAATCTGCAGTCCTTAATGGCAAAAATACGGGTACTTGGTTGATCAACAAAAATTTTCAGAAAGCTTGACAAAATCGTCGCCTGGTTGATGTGGTTGGTTAGCACGTCTGCTGTTTCTGCCACCTCGTCTTCCCATCTCCTGCCCGCTTGTCCAGACAGCTTTTCTGAGCATGGAGCGGACGGACGCGTTACACAACGTGGTACCAGTCGCTAGAAGATCAGGTCTCTGCTTATGAGATCACAAGGTCACCAAGTACGCTGGAAATGTGACTTAATCCACCCCACGGAGGAGATGCGAAGCTTAAGCAGCATTTACTTTCCAGACAGAAAGCTACTTCAAAGCACGAGGAGTCTGTCCAGAGGCGAAAAGTGGGAACTTATGTATCGGTCCTGTCTCGTAACCAGAAGATGCTTTTTCTTCAGTGTAGGATTTTACTGGGGTTTTTTAATGCAGAGAGCAGCATCAGGTGCTTCATAAAAGTACACAGAACAGATGTTTTTTAAGGGTCATGACATGAAATCATGCAATCTCTGGAAAACACTCGAAGGAGCAATGCCGTACGCCTCTTCAGCTCCCAGAGCGCCCGCTGACGTGTGTACGACCCAGCGGTGAGTCTGCGCTTCGGGACTGGGCGCACTCGAGATCAGCGTGCTGGCTCCCAGATGAACATTCAGGCCATCGCTGTAACCTCCGTTGCGTGAGAGGTTTATGCAGACTAAGCCTGCAATGGTTAATTTTGGCATACAGTTGCCCTCGGTATGTGAAGTATTCTGTAGCTTCATTGTTTCTGTCCTTCCTCTGGAGCTTGTGCAGAAATGTCAGCGGTCTCCAAGTGCTGTGCCTACGTGCAGAGCTTGGGGACCGGCCTCCACTCACTTTTCTTCATGAAAAGTGAAATTTCACGCCTAACCTAAGAAGATTTTTTTTTTTTCTGCAACCTAAGCAGGACTGACTAATCAAAGGGGCAGCAGAGTTTGCTGCGTGAGCGGACGTCTGGCAGGGCAGCTGCTGAGAGCAACAGTCTGAGGAGCGCAGGACTGTACAGCTCGTGCCACCGTCCGTGCGTGGGGACAGGTGAACCTGGTTTGGGCAAAAATATACTTAGGAGAGGAGAGCCTTGTGGAAAGACACCTGCTGCAGCAGCAGCTGGATTTGATGTCTTGCCTGCAGGAAAATCTCTAAAATACCTTCCAAAAACTGTGAGAGATTGGAGCCTTGCGCTTCGTTTCAAGAGCGCTTGCTATATCGGCGGGCTGTGCTCCCACGTTTGAGTGGAGGAAGAGATGTGGATGACCTTGACTTGTTTAGGAGCTGAGCCACTATCTATTGATCAGTGGTAATGCTTAAATTGCAGCAGGTCCTTGCTTAACTCTACTTGTCACTCTCCCAACTCTTTAGAGCAAAAAATTTATGACCGTGCAGATGGCTTAATGAAATATGGTGGGGCTAATTGAGATAGTAAATTTTGCGTTTCCTAGCAAGTGACTTGAGGGTCAGGTTGGAATTGGTGATGGATTTCCTTCCCCAGCCCTGGTTCAGATTTGTTCATGGAATAAGTTCATCCGATGAATAAAACTCAATTGACAAGCTCTTTGAAAAACATCTTCACTCTGTTGCACAACATGAGTAGTCAAACATAAAGAAGTAGGTTGCTGTGCAGTCAGAAGTCAGCAGAACTGCTTTGACTGATCTTGGTAATTAGTATTTACTGCGAGTCAATTATGTCGCAGGTATTTTAATTAATGGGTGACTGGGAAAAATACAACCACCTGATGAGAAACCTTCAGAAGTGATTTATTTTTATTATTTTCAAGACCAGATAACTCTTATCAAGCCCTCTGGTTTAATGGAGTTTATGGAGTGAAATTAATCATTTCAGCCTATTTTTGGCCAGAAGCCTTTTGGGGCTGACTCGATGGCCCGACTGAGAAGTAACAGCCTCTTGAAATGGGCAAGGAGATAATAAACCTCTGAGGTTTGGCTTGCTGGTGCCTCTGCTAGCCTGCTCTGTGACCCACGTCGGAGAGGAGAGGGCTTGTGCAAACCTCTCCGAAGCTCTTCCCCTGAGTTGGGGAGACTCGGGAACCCTCCTGGTCCCACCTGTGGGTCAGGACCTGTGGTTACCAGGGGCTCTCCAGGACTCTTCTGGGGTTTCTCCTGCAGTTTTGTACCACTGTCCTCAACTCCATAGTCTTGCAAACTACTATTCCTACCTGTATCTCTTCCTGTGCTACATCAGTTTCAGTTAAACTTGCTTCTAGGGTAGAGAGCTATTAGGATAGTGTAATAATTCTATTTCATACTTCCACTGTTGCTTACTTTGACTTTTACACTTTTCCTGGCAGAGTTTTGTTGCCTGTTCTGCTGATGCTTCAGGGGAGGGGGATGCTTTTTCTCCTCCTCTCTCTGCCATTTCTACTGCCTGTCCCCTGCCTGTCCATCCCTGCTTGCAGGGTAGTCTGAGTGGCTTCTGTAAGTCTGGCGCTTTCAGCTTTGAAGTGGATTGATTTCAGTTGGGTCGCTGCTGTATTGCCTGCCTTTGTGATCTCTTAGAGGAGACTTTTCACATCCATGTGTGCAATGCTAGCTCCCAAGGAAAGCCTGGCTGGCAACAAGTCCTACCTTTGAGTGAGAGTGTAGATTTTCAACGAAATATTTTAGAGTGCTCAGATTTCCGTGGCAGAGGCAAGCTCCACTTTTATGGTGAAATGTGTTGTTGAGTATTGCAAGTATGTGTTTGGCACCAAAACAGTAGCAAGTACCCAGAGGCCGGTTATGAGTGTCAGGAACCCCTACACGTGTTTTGAAGTGTGCGCGATGACTTTCTTCTGTTGCGTTGCAGGAGTACAACCGTTCCATGAAGCTGTAGCTTTGCACTGAGCTGCAGCGTGTGTAGCAAGGGGAGCTGGCATGCTTTGGGAGCGTTGAGGCTGGCTCTCAGCCGAGGTGTACCTGGTGGAGCGAGCACCCTGTGCCCCCCAGAAACGAGGAGAGCGTGGGTCAGAGGCAGACGCACGGCCTGCTGGAACAGAGCTAGCGCAAACTGTGGAGCATTAGTGGGGTTTCAGTCTGATCTGCTCACGCGTGGCTTCCCCTCTGAAGGGGGATGATGTTAAATACTTTCTGCAGCTGGTAGATGAGTTAGCTAAAAAGTGGAGATTGAGGAGCCGGCTGTCTCTTTAACTAGCTGCGGCTCCACTGGTTTCAGTGAGAGTTATTTTTGGTGAGGCTTGTTAGACCAGAGACAAGTTTCCTGTGGAAAACCAGAAGGAAGGAGGCACGGCACGTGGCTGCGAACCTGTGCCGCTCGCTGTTGAGGTAGTATGGTGCGAGGCTTGGTATTTGAAGGAAAAGGTTGAAAAAGTTTTATTTCTATTTTGATGTAGAAAAAGATTTTAAAACCTTTATGCTTTTCACGTAACAGTTCTGATTTTTCTAGCCAGCCCCATCAACCAGAGACGGCCCAGGTAAGGGCTGCTGTGGTGGTGGTGTGCCAGAGTCCCTTCCCGTGTAGCTTCAGCGGAGACCCTGTCCGGTGTTGGAACCCGGAAAACACCCTGGTGCCCACGTCGTTGCCCGTCCTCTGCATCGCTTGCTGCAGGCGTGCGAGAAGCCTCTGCCTGGGTTGAACTCCCTGTGTGGATAACTGCTTTGTTCTTCACTTCATCCCTTGCAGATCACTTGGTGGCCCACGGACGTATGGCGGAGAAGGAAGCCCGGAGAAAGTTCAAGCAAATAGTGGCTGCTGTCAACTTTTGTCACTGTCGTAATATAGTCCACAGAGATCTGAAGGCAGAAAATCTACTTCTGGATGCCAACCTTAACATCAAAATAGCAGGTGAGCTAAGACTAGCAGTGTGGGAGGAAGGCAGCTGCTTTCAGAAGTTAATAAATGTAGGCATTGGCTGCTTCCAGGTATTCAGAAAGAAGGAAACGCAGTGCAGCTAAAGGAAGCTTTGGATTTCTGTGTGGCCTGCTGCCCAGAGCTGAAACTGCCAGGTTGTAGCCAGGAGATTTATATCTCCCTTCAAGTAGTGCAAAATGAAAGACGGAGGAAAGAAGAGCAGCTTTGGCTTCCTAGGCAGATATGCAGCTATAGATGACTGTGGTGTTCCGATACGCTGGATAATGGGCGAGACTAATATTAAAAAATGGCCTTGTCCTGGTGCTGGTTTAGGACTTGTTCAAAGCTAAGTGGGAGAGAAAGAACAGAAAAGGTAGGGGTGACAACGTTTATGGTAGGGCAGTGAAGGGGAAACGGCACTCTTGGAATCACTTCACTAAGCTGTCTGACCAAGCAGGAGAATTGGCCTGAGTGCTTTGGGTAATTTATTCATTGCAGGGGGAGAAGCTGAAGTTACTGAATAAAGAGGCCCTTACAGCCAGGTCCCAGTGTTTTGCTGGGCAGTGGGGGTTTTTTGCTGATAACTGCCCTTCCAGGGAGCTTGCACCTCGGGCAGTTTCTCGGCTGACCCAACGCAGGCCTGCGTGTCTGTGATCCTCTTGTACATGAGATTGAGCCTTGGCCGCTGAGCTCTGTGATGCACTGGCTAGACTTGACTTTATTTAGCTTTGTGGGATTATGTAGCAACCGATTGAAACGAGGATTTAAACGAGGATTTAATACTGCCCTGGTCATCTCATTTCATGGGCTTTTGGATTGGAAGAGCTCATACTTACCATTTAATTCTGCTAGAGCCTAACGCATAGCAGAGCATTTTTGGAAAGGGCTTTGTTGCCCCCTCTCTTAATAGACTTGCTTGGAGAGCTTGTCGGCTTTTACAAGGGTTTGTAACTTGACTTTAAAAAAAGAAGAGTGCTCAGGGCTACAAAACTTTTCAGTCTGTGACCTTATTACTGGGAGTTGGGGAATACTCTTCTAGCTTGATACCATCTTGGAGAGAGGAAACAATCTTGTTCGTTGTGTTACCGTTCTCTCATGTACCATCCGTAGGTGTTAAAGTTTAACATCTGATCTGTAGTAAGATGATTAATGATTTCTTAGGTTTCCCTTGTCCTCACTTTGTGAGGAGGGAATGGAGAAGGAATAGAAAGGAGTGAAGGACTTTATGAAACTTCCTCTGGGCGCTTAATAGTATGCACCGTGTCCTCCTTGGCACAAGGATGATAACCTGCTCTTCTGGGAGCAGAAGATGAGTAAGAGGCACGTCGCTGATGGAAGTGGTTCGTAGCATTTCCTACGTGTTAAGGGAATCTGTGCCGCCTTGCGCTGCACAGGATTCCGTGGCCCAATGACAGCCGGATAGCTCTCGCTTCCCAGAGCCGCGCTGCGTGCAGTCACCGAGAGAAACGCACTGACAGGGTGGGAAGAAGGGCTTGGGTTTGCCGGTCAGACCCATTTCTGACGGTTGGGTAAGAGCATCTGTGCTGGAGGAGGGCAGCAGCAAGCGGCTGTTGGTGACCGCTGCCCTGGGCAGCAGGAGGAGGTGGTGGCAGGTAACGGAGCTCCTACGAGAAAGGCTACTCGGGAGGTCTTTATAAGCAGTGCTTTCAGGCATCTGTTTTATGCAAACAGATGCACTAATGATTTGAGGCCATCTTGTGTTTGTGGGGCAAAAGCTAATCTGTGTGTAGCGGGGGGAACGGTGCCTAGCAAATAAAAAGAAAGAAGTTAAAAACTAACACGAGTAGAAACTGGAGTACAGCTGGGTTTCCTAAAGAAACGTCCATGTGAGCACGCTGACAAGCCCTGTGAATGTCTGAAAATTGTGGAAACTTTTTTTTTAATCTAAGGGAGCTGGAAACTATTTTCCTTCCAAATCTCTGCTCCCAGAATGGACTCTAGAAGATAGTTCCCACTCTGGTGGTGGTACTGTTTTACTTGGCAGGAAGATGTAGTGATTTGAAAAGTAGCCTGGAAAAGCTGATTTATGGTATAGGATTTTCCAACTATTAAGTTTTGTCCCCTATAAATCGTCAATTATGACCTGACACCAGTTCTTCCATTGTTTCGAGAGCAAAAAAAGAAGCGATAGCAACTGATCTCTTTCACACCAGACCTCCTAGAATAAATACTACAGAAATGCACAAAGCGTTGCTACACAGAATGGAGGATCAGCTAAGCCTTCACTGCCAAGCCCGTTAACTGTGCCTAACTCAAACCTCTTCAATGATGCATTTAATGTTCAGCTGATGGAGGCTATAGATTTATCTGGAGTGTCTTCTGAAGGCTCTGCTTGGTAGGTCTGGTCACTTTTTATCTGCCAAGTAGCAGCAAGGCAGGTAGCCTGAAGGATGCGGTCAGCCAGTGCGTCATCTCAAACACCCGGAGCGGAGGCTGGGACTACAGCTTTGTGGTTCTTCTGATATACCCATATGCACAGCCTTTAGTAATGTGCGTAACTCCAGCAGCGTTGGGACTTTTTCAGACTCTCCCCAGTGCAGATTTTCTAGCACGTTACTGCTGACCTGCACTTGCAGCCTTGCATCCCTTACTCAGCTTTAGTTAAGTAGGTGACACTTAGGGAGTGTAGCGGTCTTGAAGTGGGTTAATGCTGCTGTTGTCACCCAATGGTGACAACAAGTGTGCTTCTTGGGTTTGGGGTGGTTTTTTTATTGATTATAACTATACTGTTTTTCCATAAACAGTCAGATTCAAATGCTATTACCCTCCCTCTCATTTTTCCCATGGATGCTTTTTCTCCAGTGTACCTTCTCAAAGTCTGAGTCAGTAGCTTCTGGCATTGTGTTCACTGGTGCTCCCAGTCAGAGAGTTCAGCCAGGAGTTGTGATTGTTGCTAAATACCCGGGCCTTCCTGGGGTATGGTTTTGGAGAGGGATCCGATCTATGCATTGCTTTGCGTTCGTTTGCAAGAGTCTGCTGGTTCTGTTGCCTTCTGAGGATGAAAGTCCCTGTTGTGCAGATACTGAAGCCAGCTCCCTGAGGCTCTGCTCTGAGGAAAGGTGAGGGGCTGGGCCCACTTTTTTTTGTAGCACGGAGATGTTTCTTTCAAGTACTTTCTTTATATCGCATCACTGTGACTTTTGACTTGCTCTTCAGAAATGCCCTTTTTCCTCTGCATCTGTTTGTGGAGGAGCCCTGGTTGCTCCCTGGGGATTTGGATTTATACGTCTCCTTGGACCGGGTGACTTGTCATAATTTTTAAGAAAGTTTATTTAAGTTGTAGGGGTTTTTTTTTGTTTGGTTTAGGTTTTGTTTGTTGTTTGTTGCTTTGGACTTTTCAAATCCCCCCCCCCCCTCCTCTTTCGGGGGGGGGCTTCTGTTTTCGCCAGCCTTGACCTCAGTTCCTGCAGCTCAGGTGGGTTCTGGGAGCTGTTTCCAGCCTTTGAGCAATGCTTCGTGTAAGAGGGAGCTGTCTGGCTCCAGCTCCCCGCAGAGACGAGCAGCGTGACTCACCCGGAGCCCGGAAAGTGCTGGGTAGAGCAGCAGCTCTCCACAGGGAGAAGTTTTTCATCATGAAATCGGGGGCAGCCGTGGGGCGACCGCAGGAGCTCCAGAACCTGCTGGTTGAACGCGGGCGTCTCTGCCCTCCGAGCCCGGCTCTCTAAGGAGAGACTTGGCGGGCTTGCTCTCTCTGCCCACCTCCTCTCCACCGGCAAAAAGAGCTGTGAACCCTTGGGCTAATTTCAACCTGATGTTGCTGCTGCTTGCTTGCCGTGCCGCCGTCGAGGGGAGCTCATCGGCGTGACCGGTTAGCAGGCCGGCACGGCAGTGCGGGGAACACCTTGTTCCGCTGTCCTCTGCAGAGCTGGAGCTGGTGGCGGGCTGCATGGGGCGATATTCACTGCTTTGAAAATACGGTTGGTTCCCAAAGTGCCACAAAGCCTGCTCGAGTACATATAGGGATAAATAAAAGTAACTAAACCAGAATACTTTGCTCAATTTATGTGAAGTACCAAAATTCCGGCGTGTTCTGGCACAGTCAGAAAGAGTTTACGCCTAAACTTGACTACAAATGCTTTGTTGTTAGGAGATGGGAATACATTTAGTGCTCTAGTTTTTAGTGCTTGCTCTGGTCGCCGCAATTCAGGCACCTGTTACATGTCCTACTTTAAACGTGAGACAGAACAGCTCAAAAGCTTGCAGAGGTGGAAAGGACGATTGTGCAGCTGTGTGCTATTTCCCTGAAATAGTCCTCTAAAGGCTGGCTGCTCTTGTGTTTTGGAAGTTTAGATGACTTCGTTTCCAATGGCAAAAACCCAAAGCGTTTTTTAACTGCCTTATTTTGATGCTGTGATGCTTTTAAAGAACATTTACCACCTCTGTGTTCCATTTTGAGGTACAGCACTGTCTGTACTCCAGGTATTTCCACAGGAACACACCACGCTAGATGTTCTTCACAAGCGTAAACCATCTCCACGTTGCAAATTTTGCCCCTGCGAAGGGATGGGAAGAAGGAAAGTCGGCTGCAGCCTCCTGGAGCTGAGCTAGCAGGAGCCGTGCCGACTGCGCCTGCTGTGCCGAGCTGCGCTCGGTGCTCTGCTGAGTTTTGCAGAAGCTGTCTAAAGGAGGAGAGCAGGGTCACCTGAAATTAGGTCATGGAAAATCCCGTAAGGAAAGCAGTGAGCATGGACGCACCAGTTAGTGCGTTGTCTGCGGAGTGCCGGCGGGGTTTTCTCTGCCCCCTGCACAGAGGTGTTGGCCATCGCTGGCCTCCCTGGTGGCTCGCTCTTGAAAGTTGGTGTGAAACTCTGGGCGCCGCTGTAAAGAGGCTTTCGTCGAAAAGACGACAACCGTTTTCCTTTCGGCAGGGTAATATCGAATGTGTTAGGGCAAACCTGTAGTTTTATATGATTTGGGAGAATAAACCTTTCTTGACGGCTAAAGAATGCACGCCAAAGACCTTACCTTCTAAAGCGTGGATAAAAGCCTGTAAGGAGAAACAAGCAGATAAAACCAAGATGAATTTTCAAGATGATCGTCTAATTCAAGAAATGGGAAAAATCCTTTTGTGCTTTTGCATCTCAAATATTCTTTACCGTTTGCGTGTATGTATTAAAATACGCATTTTCAGCCAAATTCTCCTTGCGCAACATTGGGATCTTGTGTTTCACCAACAGGTAGGCAGTCAGCTATGCATTATCCCAGACGTGCTGCAGTTCGGACCAGTGGTGGTGTCAAAATTAATCTTAAACTCTTTATGAGAGATATCTACATTCTGCAGCTGTACTGTGTATTTTTGCCACGATGCTTTTCGATTTAATCGGTTAGAGTCTGCAATCTGAGCATTCCTGGCCCTCCTTGTTTTTTCCAGCATTTCTCACAGAAGCCTACTGTGAGGATTTGCTGCTGCTGGTACCAGCAAATGCCATGAAAAATGTCCTCGTTGCTGTGGGTGCCCGTCCACGTGCATTAACGTCACTCACCCTCCTGCTGGCACGTGCCTAGCAGGGAGAGAGGCACAACAGCGTGCAGATAACCTTTGTGGCACCGCTCCTTCGGATAGAGCTTGCTTCTAGGGACCCCACGCTTGCGGGACACGGAGGCACCTCTCTGTGATTATGTCTTTGCTTTTATTCAGTTGGGGCAAAAAAGGAGGAAATTGTTAGTGAAGATTCTTTCTTTTTATAAGAAAAAGCTCACTTCTCTTGAATGCAGACTGTGGCTTCTTTAGTCTTTCCAGCACAACTCCCAGCTGCGTGCCAGGGGGTGGCAGGTTAAGTAGCGGAGAGTGCCATTAGTGCCCACGTAAGCTGATGGTTGACTGCCTGTAAGGTTAAGACCTTTCTCTTAATTTCTCTTTCAGGATTTATTATTTGCTGTTGGTGGATGATTTGACTTGGTTTGTAGAGCTGCCCACCGTAACCAAAGTTTCCAGCTCATGTAGCGCTTTCTGAAAAATCAAAATTTCTTTCCCTTTGTCTGCATTCTGTCCTTGCTGGCAGCTGCCCTGGCCCTAATGAAGTTGTGAAGCTTGATGTCAGAGAAGCTGAAGGTTGGAAGTTGACCCACAAGACTTATGCGGGATTTCTTGAGTATAAGGTGGAAGCCTCATTCCAAACCATCCACCTGGCTTGCAGCAACCCTGCTTGATCTGATTGCTGGTGTATTGACTCCAGCATGGAAATCACATGGGTAGAAAGTGAAGAGCAAACTTTTGGAAAGATCTTTGTGTTCTGCTAAGCAAAGGCAGTATGGTTATAGTATGTGAGGCAGGCCTGAGTCGTGGCATTTTGCAGCAGGTTGTTTAAACGGGGTGTGTTTTTATGCTGTACAAAGCGGACATGCCGCTGTTAATGCTCGGTGGTCTTTCATCTTGGTACAGAGAATAGTTGCACGCTGTCCAGGTGGCTTTGGCGTTGCACTTGCTCTTCTTACCTCTTTAGCGCTCTTGTTTCTCGGATGTCTGTGTATCAGTTAGCCGTTATAGGATTGTACGTGACTTTACTAGACTCGGCAAATTACTTAAACACCACTTGTTTAGGATGGTTGGAGTGGATCGTATTCCTCTAATCAGTTCTCTTTGTCCTTTCAGATTTTGGGTTCAGTAACATCTTCACACCTGGTCAGCTGCTTAAAACCTGGTGCGGGAGTCCTCCCTATGCTGCTCCAGAGCTCTTTGAAGGAAAGGAATACGATGGGCCAAAGGTTGACATTTGGGTACGGGATGAACCTCTTTCTCTCTTGCTTTGAACTAATTCTTGTTCTGTTTGGCTTTGCTTCCTGAAATCCTTAGTAAGTGTCTTACAGAAAAGCCCCTGATAGGGTAAAAAATAGTTTGGCTTTGCTTCCTGAAATCCTTAGTATGTGTCTTACAGAAAAGGCCCTGATAGGGTAAAAAATGTTTTTCGGAGAAATGCTTATAAAATTTTATTCTGGCTACTATGTCACATGTGCACTTTATTGGGAGGCATGGTGCCAAAAATATTAGTTGCCCAGAAATGCCTTTTAATTTAGTTTGCCCAAAATAGGGTTTGCTTCACTGCTGTTGAGTGGCAGAGTACCTACCGCAGCAGAGCTGAAAGAGGAAACTTCAAGTTTTGCTGTACGAGGCTTTGCAGAGGCGCAGAGCCTTGGGACAGCCTCCTCCGTGGCACTAGCTGTGCACCACAAAGCTTGCTTTGCCCCGCAGCTCTGCCTCTCGACGCTGGCTCGGCTGCCTGCTGTCCTGCCTCTTCTCCTCGCGGGGCTCCTCGAGCTCTGCCAGCCAAGCAGAGTGGGATGAGTGGGAGGGAAGAGTGGCATACCTGGGTGTGAAACGGCCGTGCGGTGGGTCAGCTGAAGCTCTTTGGGCATGCCAGTTGGCCGGAGCCTCCTACCGCAGGGCTGCTGCGGGCAGGCTTGGGGCTGTAGCCTTCTTGTGAACCGATGGCTTCCGAGGCTCCAGAGAAAGTCTGAATTAGGCTTGAAGTTTGAAGGAGGAATTTAGCTGTCCCGGGACTCAGATGTCAACAAGGTCCATTCCAATGGGATTTGCTGCTTCTTAGTCTGTATTATGATTTTCTTCTGTTTAAGCAACATTCACGGCAATTAGCTGCAGTCTCCCGGTCTCTTCCTCTAATGTTGCTGACGTGACCTTTGTTTTGGACGCAGAGTCTCGGCGTGGTGCTGTACGTGCTGGTCTGCGGCGCTCTGCCCTTCGACGGGAGCACGCTGCAGAACCTGCGGGCGAGGGTGCTCAGTGGGAAATTTCGCATTCCATTTTTCATGTCCACAGGTAAGGGGTGTGCGCCTGCAGCGCTGAGCAGGCGCTGGCCGCCTCTCTGCTTACAGATTCTTCGTAGCACTTAAATTATAGCATACCAGTTGATTTATATGCCAGTGAAGTGGTGTGCCGGGAAGCTTATCCGCTGGATGGTGGTTTGTAACGTAAGCTAAAATGGGTTCTGAATCTAGAATTTAGAAACTGAAATACTCTTATTTAAAGTCTCAGCTTTCATGTGTATAACTATGCAGACTATAGCAAAATGTTA